TTTCCCCTCTTTCAATTTGTACCCATTGCCCCTTGTCCTGTCACTGCAGCTCCTAACAAAGAGTCCGTCTGCAGCTTACCTGGAGCCCCTTCAGATCCTGGAAGGTGCTCTGAGGTTCTCCAGGTTGAACAGCCCAAACTTCCTCAGCCTTTTTCCTAATATCTAACCTAAATTTCTCCTCTTTCAATTTGTACCCAAATAGATAGCGTGTTAGAATGTATGCAGTTAAAACCACACCTAAGTCATATCTGGAAGAAAGATGCCTCCATGTTTTATTTTTAGATATGTCAGAAATATTGTCTATTCAATTTGGGTAATTAAGTGTTTGTAGTGAAGTAAAAGGAAAGAGACAGAAGGGATGTCCTGGGTTGCAGTGTGGGGGTATCCAATGGTATGTATTCTATTATCATCTCCACAAGCTGTTAAAGCAGGTGGGGCAGTGACCGTTATCACCTTGTCCCTCCCTCAGGGAGCTGTCTCTGATTAATGGGCTGTCAAGGACCCATGCATGACACATCTTCCCAGTGATGCCCTGTGCCATGGTGAGGTGACTCACCCCAGGGGTGGGAAGCCAAACATGCTCACAGGGATATAAGCCGGGGTTTGGACCAGCACAGGGAGCCCTTTGCCTGCTGGATTCCCAGAGGACAAGAGCTGCTGCTGGACCTTCAGGAGAGGAGCAGATCTGTGGGATCACTGCTCCAACAAACCCATCACTCCAGGAGGACTGCAGCCACTGTTTAATCGGACTACTACTAACACCCTGACTGACAGGGTGTCAGGTTACTTTCTGACTCTGTCAGGTTATTTTTTGTACTGTTGCATTTGTTGTTGTTTTGTTGTGTTGTTCATATTAAGTTGTACTTCTGACTTGGAGTCTCTCGCTGGTTTGCTTTCAAACAAACCAGCACAAGGGAACATGTTTGAATGCATAGACAAAGGAGTGTCTAAGGAATCTCCCAACATCCCCATTTAGACTTTGTATTTAAAAGCAAAACAAAAAAACAACAACAGAACCACAAACAAGCAAAAAAACCCAAACCAAAGCAAAACATAAAATATGGGGGTTTTCATACATAAACAGTATGACCTCTGCCATTGTAAAGCAGTGAACAACACCTGATTTGTACCACCTGGAGAGCAAACCAGGACATCTGCTTGGTATCAGTGTGGAGGATATTGCATTGTGGAGTCAAACCATCATCCAGACAAAGGTACAAAGAGGAGTTAATTGGAGAGACAGTGTAAGAAAGAAGATCAAAGGCTTATCTTAGAGGAGAAACATTTCCAGAATGCATGTTAGCCTTTCCCTTTGGTGGTCCAGCCCTGCTGCTCTCACTGGGTCTGCATGTGCAGACCTGCTGAGAAGGGCCTGCCTGCTTTGTGCAGGAGCCAGCACAGGAATGACACATTGCTTTAATCCTGCTTGTGCTGTCAACAAGCACCTTCAGTGGGATGTAAGGTGCCTTGGCCTGGCTCTGGCCCTCTGCCCAAGGGCAAATCCCTTTCTGAGCAAGTGACATTAGATTGTCAACAAGATACCATATTCATCAAAAGCCTGTGGCATATTTGCTTATTTTCCTTGCACACAAACAAATTCAGTTCAGACTCCATTTAATAAGAGATTAGCTTCAATCATTCAGATTAACAGTAATTTTTCTTCATGTATTTCTCTAAAGGATTAGCAACATGGATTTTTTTTTCTGTTGGAAAAGCAGATGTCTGTTTCGCACAGGGGCAGTTCTCTGGGAAGTGCTGTTGGCCTGCATTTACAGTAAACTTAGACAAGAGGTCTGGTGGCAGGGCACAGTGCATTTGCATGACAGAGCTGAAACATAAGCCTGCCTTTTGAACATGGACAGACTGCTGCAAGGTCATGCAGAGCTGTGAAATGATCTGGCAACAGAGACCCCCAAGGGGTATACTTCCATTTCCTGACAGGAATACTGCCAGAGAACAATGTTTTAAATCTAATGATGACATAGATCAAATGTCCTTTTACTACTTCAGGTATTTGCTTAGAGGTCATCATCCTCTTTGTTTGAAGAAAACTCAAAAGTCCTGGCCTACCTTAGCACTACAGTGAAGGAGCTATTTTCCTTGAAGCATTAATTTCTGAAAACATCTCTTATGGACAACAGAATTTATAGTGCAAGTGGTATTGGAAAGTCCATCTTGATCAACTATTTTGTCCACGTGGAGGCCAGTGACAAGTGGTGTCCCTCAGGGGTCGGTGCTGGGGCCAATACTGTTCAACATCTCTATCATCTGCATGGACAGTGGGAGCAGCGCACCCTCAGCAAGTTCACTGACCACACCAAGCTGTGTGGGGCAGTCACAGCTGGAGGGAAGGGATGGGACATCCAGAGGGACCTTGACAGGCTTGAGAGGTGGAACAATGCAAACCTCATGGAGTTTAACAAAATGAAGTGCAAGGTCCTATATCTGGGCCATGGCAATCCCAGGCACAGCTGGAAGTTGGGTGGGGAAGTAACTGAAACCAGCAGTGAGGAGAAAGACTTGGGAGTGACAGTGGATGAGAACTCACCATGAGCTGCAGTGTGAGCTCAGCCCAGAAAGCCAATGGAATCCTGGGCTGCATCCAAAGGAGTGTGGGCAGCAGGTCAAAAGAGGTGATTCTCCCCCTCTACTATGCTCTGGTGAGACCCCACCTGGAATACTATGCATATTTCTGGTGCCCTCAACATAAGAAGGACATGGAACTGTTGAAGCAAGTCCAAAGTTGGTAAGAGGACTAGAGCATCTCCCCTATGAAGACAGGCTGAGGAAATTCAGCCTGGAAAAGAGAAGACTGAGTGGAGACCTCATAGCAACTTCTCAGTATCTGGAAGGCCTACAAGGGAGCTGGAGAGGGATTCTTTATGAGGAACTGCAATGATAGGACAAGGGGTAATGGATTCAAACTGAAGGAGGGGAAGA